CTTTCATCAGGAGTACAGGTGGACAGACTACTGGAACCACAGGGCTCCCTGTGGGAATAGAACCCATGACTGACAGGTGTAGTGAAGGGAGTAACAAGTCAGGACCTCCCTTACCTGGCTGAAGCTCCTTGCTCCATGTAGGATGAAACCCTGGCCTGGTGTTGTTTTCCGGGAGGTTGCAGGAAATCCATGCCAAGTACATAATTGAGATCAAAACTATGATGTCTTTGATGAGATGTTTCTGTAAGTTGGAATCATCTGATTTGTTGTGACCTTTGGGCTAAGCAGAAATATGGAATATTACAGTTGGTCCAAACTGTCTGCTCCTTATTTATGGCGAGTTTGGGAACCGAACCCCAGTAACTCCCACCTAGTCATGACCCAAGTCTAGGTGACTGTCTTCATTGTGTGGAAGGTCCAGCTTTGAAATATGGTGCATTCTCCTCACTCATTATTTTGTAAAAGTGTTTATTTTAATGGTTTATTGAAGTTATCGCTTTCAAATGCCCCCACTATAAACACTTTGCTCCAAGTAGGTTTAAGGTACCATTTCCTACAGGTCCACTGGTAATGTCTGCTGTAGTTGATAAACCTTGAGGACTACCATAACCCATAGACCACAGGGGCTCCTAGTCTGATATGCAGATCTGTTTCAGTGTTTGTCCTGATATAGGTTGTAAGGTCAAGAGTCTAGAGAGATCTAGTGGATTGAGGTCACCTTATCAATTTGAAGGGCTTATCAGAAACTTGATCCAAGCTCCCTTTAGTAAAGAGTTGGTCACCAAATTCTTCCCAAGTCTGTCCTGCGGGCCTTTCACTAGTGGTGAGGGAGTTCCTTCCTGTGACCTTGTGTTTGTATGGTGACTGCTACTGTCCAGACACAAGCAAGAAATTAAAACTTGAAACTTTTGAGCTAGAGAGTACAATGCACATGTACATGTACAAGTGAAAGGCCTATGGAAGAACTAGTCTTTGGTGAATAGCTTTCAGTAGCAGCATTACAATCTCAAGTGTATTTGTGTTGATAAGATAAGAAGAATGATGTCTGTTTTTCTTTTCCTCTAGTCTTGTACCATAAAACTAAAAGGTTGCAACACCAAATTGGAAGACTATATTTCTGCTTTATCTTGTCAAAGTAGTTAAAACAGAGAACAGCCACAATACAGTAATACACAGCCATGTCCAGTCATCCAAAATGGAATGATGCTTCTTTTTATTTGGAATGGCAAGATCGTAACAATATATCCATATAAATATAGGTTACAAAAACCAAAATATAACTTTCAGGGTACAAAGAAACAACAAATGTAACACAAGCTTCAAGAACCTCTTTACCATCGAAACCACTATACACCACGGAAATATATGTAACACAAGAGTCGTTGACTCTTTATCTTGCACATTACGCCATAAAAATGCTGGACTCGACATGAAAAAATAATGCAAAAGCAAACTGCATAGATACACTACATACACTCTGTCTTTCTCTCTCTCTTTCTCTCTTCATTGGTCTGAAGTGTACATCCGCTAACATATACAGCAGTTTTTGTCAGTCACACATTATAAAGGTAATAGTGGTACATCTCTTCTGTATATGGTATGCATAACTACTATGAACAGCTCCCATATACACTACTGACACTACCACTACATAGGAAAGGTTTTCTTTGTTAGATATGTACATCATCAAAGATAGGGTAACAACACTCTACACCTAGACTTAGATACACTAAACGTATATCTGGTCACTCTGATCGCCCTACGTATATATACGTTACTTGGAAGCACTGGGGTTTTTGCTATATATCACAAGCGTAGGCTTTTGCAAAAATGTACTCAAGGCTTTACACTATTACTTGTACACCAAAATATTTTGACATCTTACATGTAATGCAATGCATTTTTGCTACAAAGACATACTTTGAAATATCATTATAGCCAAGCCATTTCACACACGAAACATATAGGTGAAATGTTCATGAGAAGCCATGACATTTTTGTTCAGCCCACGTTATGTTGTTAAGTCGTACAAAAAATTGAAACAGTCTTGGATACAACATAAATGATAATATCTTGCCGCTGATTGCATGAGGTGTTCTGATTTGGACAAAAGATATAAATCTGAAATACAAGCTTAAAAAACATTTTCCACCTTTCATCTGTTCTCTAGACTTGTAAGATCTCCAATTGATGCCTCAACCCCTTTGTATAGAAACAAGTTTTGCACAATGGCCTAATTCCACTTGGTCCAGAAATATATTACACCTAGCTATGGCGCAGGTAAAGTATGAAGTGTATTGCTTTTCCTATAGCTGCAATTTAAAGCTGGAACAGCATGCCCATAACCCAGCCCTTATTGCTATTTAACTTCTACAGTGTGCAGAGTCAATAGGTCGTTACCATGCGTGAGATTGCCCATCAGAAAATGGCTGCTTGGGACCATGGCACATGAGTTTTATCTGAAAACGATATTGTCGCAGGTAGCTGTGTGATCCGTATCGTCACAGAAGTGTTAACAATGCTACATCCTTTCAATTCTGCATCTGCTGGGGAGGAAGTGGGATGTGACATCCAATGGCTTGTGACATCATAGCTTCCCTAACTCGGCATAGGGATGGAAATGTACGTCATTTAGGTTTCATGGCAGCTTGTACTTACAGATGTACGCGTTAAGTCAGTATCGTGGCACATCGCGGGGTGAATGTTTCTCATTTTAAAAGCGGACCATATGCTGCAGCTATATCTCCTGCACTTAAGGTTGACCTTTACCAGAGTGCCGTGTGTTATCCATCTCTAAATCCCGTGCACATCTTCCAAATGATTGTTTTTGGTTGGGGTAAATGGGAGAGATGGGAGATTTCTGATGCTTCCGCAGGTCAAAAAGTCGCAGCTTCAGTTGTAGGACAGGGGTTAATCTGTGACCGGGCTCACATTTAGAAACAATGCTGCTTAATGTAGGAGAGAAATGCCTGAATCACCACTTTCCCAGCCCAAATACCCCTCATTTCCTGCCCTCTTAAATGTCTTTCCTCACCCAGGGGGGAGAATACAGAGCATTAAGAGCCTCTCGTAGAATGTGTTAATATGGATTCATTATTGGGTAGCAGCCGCGAAATGTTCTCCCACCATAAAGTGGCGACACCATTGCATGCTGACTATGCCCTCTGCATACATTAGCTTAGTGTAATCATGGAAACCATGGTGATGCAAGCCTTGAAACATCCTCCGGTGAGGACGACAAAACGTGTTTTCAGCCAGAATTTTACCAATCTTTCTCAGTTTCTGGTTCACCCATGGAAATCGGTAACATCATCACAAGCAGTCTTAACAGTTCACCATCCTGTAGACTATTTGGTAGAATGTTCCCGGTAGACCTGCGCCATTCTAGCGGTGATAGGCTATAAAACAGGCCGGCCTCACCCCGGGACACATTCCGGCTTCCCCTCACCTCACAGGATCACTTTTGTATCGTTCTATTGAAAAATTGTGGTTGTGGAAATCCAATCATTTCGCCCGGGTGTTCTCTGGTCCAATTATGTCCTGATTCGGTGTTATTATAGAATTTCCCGTGCCACGACCCCCAAGGAGCGATCCTGGGCTCCACTCTTCATCACAGGGATAATTTGTGTGTTCTTCTACTAATTAACTGCCACATCTTGTTCGTTTTCCCATCCCACATTCCTCACAGATGATATATAAGTACAGAATGTTGGAAAACAGCAGGGCTGGATTGTCGCTAAATCTGATCATTACGCAGAAAATCATTACTCGGTGTTTCACGGAATCCTGCTAGGATTAATCCACTAGTCTACTAATCTGGGATGTGTTTGTGCATGATTGGTATAATACGGAACTGTTTACGATGTGTTTTTGGTTTTAGCAATGGCAAATATCTCAGAAAAGGACCGAACCTGCCAGTCGATGAGTCATCACTGTGTCGTGTGACTTCACATAAAAGACCAATATGAGATCAAAAGTTGATATACATACGAGCATTGATGCAAGCTGAGCTTTTTTCCACAAGTCATCCATATTTGCCACATCGTAGCTGAAAGGATTATACATGATTGCTCTAAGCACAAACAGTGCCCTGGTCTAGCTTTTATAAGTACATACAATCTCAACTATGTAAAACAGCATTGCGAAGAACCGACATGAGAATGATAAAACCTTGCACAATATAGTCCAGAAATATAACTCTACATTTGGCTCATACCACAAGGACTTTGGGAGAAATGTACAAGACGGGGAGCCGCCTGCTTTTGGTTGCACAACTGAGGTCTGTTGCCATGGCAACACTGTACAAAACATGTTGATTGGAGAAGCATTGGGTAACCTAGGCAACCATCTCCAAGTGGTGCTGACTAAAGCTATGTCAAAGACTCTCCTTTTGCTTTACCAAAATATACATGTAGTGGTGATTGACATGTCATTAAGTACACACATTACACATAGGAGAATCGTACAGACTGGAGATGGTGCCTACATGGATACATTCTGGTCAGAAAATTGCACAGATTTTGACTTCATGGCTGCAATTATTTTCTAATCATCATCAGATTACGATTTTGATGTATACACATATTACCATATTTAATTAGGTTCCTCCAATATTTCTTCTCTTTTAGCTGTAATTTTGAATGATCATCAACTAGAGTTCCCCGATCTCATACCTTCGCCAAATGACTGACAAATTATAGATTAGATTATTCCCCCCTGATTTAAGAAATAGGAACCTAATTTTCATGAATTATATCATTTTATCATAATCTCAACCAAAAGACAGTCTTATATAAACAAACAAGGCATTCTAGTATTTCCTAATAAATTATGCAAATGAGGTCCTGATTTGAATTAATTATGTTTAATGATGTTCACCTCAACTTAACGTTTCAAATACCATAAGTATGAAATTACAGGCAGTTATCATTACATAATTATAAAATTTCTC